AAGGGAGAGGGTTGACATGTTCTGGGGTTGTTAACCAATGTCATAAAACAATATGTGTACTACTGTTTCATGAGAAACTATTTGTTCTGTAAGCTTTCACCTGAAGTACAATTAAAAATAAATAAATAAAAGTTAAAAAAAAAATTGTCTTAAATAAAGTAACCTTGTATCCTATTAAGGAGCCCTGGTGTGGCACAGTGGTTAAGCGCTCTGCTGCTAACCAAAAGGTCAGCAGTCCAAACCCACCAGCCGCACCTTGGGAGAAAGATGTGGCTGTCTGCTTCCGTAAACATTACAGTTTTGGAAATCCTATGAGGCGGTTTTACTCCGCCCTATAGGGTTGCTGTAAGTCAGAATCAACTTGACAGCAACGAGTTTTCAGGTTTATTGTTGTTGTTGTTAGGTGCCACTGAGTTGATTACAACTCATAAAGACCTTATGTACAACAGAATGAAACACTTCCCAGTCCTGTGTCATCCTCACAATCCTTGTTATGCTTGAGCCCACTGCTGCAGCCACTGTGTCAATCCACCTCGTTGAGGGTCTTCCTCTTTTTCGCTGACCTTCTACTTTACCAAGTATGATGTCCTTCTCCAGTGACTAATCCCTCCTGATAACATATCCAAAGTACGTGAGACGTAGCCTCGCCATCCTTGCTTCTAAGGAGCATTCCTGGTTGTACTTTTTCCAAGACAGAGTTGTTCATTCTTTTGACAGTCCATGGTATATTCAATATTATTCGTCAACACCACAATTCAAAGGGGTCAATTCTTCTTCGGTCTTCCTATTCACTGTCCAGCTTTCACATGCATATGAGGCGACTGAAAACACCATGGCTTGGGTCAGGCGCACCTTAGTCTTCAAGGTGACATCTTTGCTTCTCAACACTTTAAAGAGGTCTTTTGCAGCAGATTTGCCCAATGCAATGCCTCTTTTGATTTCTTGACTGTTGCTTCCATGGGTGTTGATTGTGGATCCAAGTAAAATGAAATCCTTGACAACTTCGATCTTTTCTCCATTTATCACAATGTTGCTTATTGGTCCAGTTGTGAGGATTTTTGTTTTCTTTACGTTGAGGTATAATCCATACTGAAGGCTGTGGTCTTTGATCTTCATCAGTAAGTGCTTCAAGTCCTCTTCACTTTCAGCAAGCAAGG